CAGGCGTAGGGGGATGTTGGCTTGTCGTCCGTTGTTCGCGTTGGGGCCAATGGCTGGGTGGGCATTGACACATTGGTGAGTCTTGGGCAGAAAAGACTGAAGGAGGAGAAGGCAATCAGAGTGAAACGCACCTCTGACACCCTCTTCTTGATCAACAGTGGTGCTCATCACGCAATACCTCTCAACAGTACTATTCGCCCGGTAGACATTGCAGCGTAGGCCTAGGCCATGCTCTGCTGTGGCCTCCGGCACCCTTCTTACCGTGATGCCTGAAAGAAGAGCATTAACCGGTTTTTACTAGAGGCATCCGCACGAGTCCAGTAGTGTGGGTGTTTGACCACCTCGGTTGTCTCTGCCTTGGTCCGGAGTTCTAACTACCAGCAGGGGGTGGGGCTGCAGTTCGCGGCGCAATGCGAGTGTGGGGTAGTAGTTGTTGTAGGGGACTGCGCCGCCCCTGAGGGTAAACCCCCCCACCTGGATGGAGTCTTCAGTGACTATGGGGGGACCAGCCTGGTGGTGGCGGCGGGGTGGGCAGTGCCACTTGCCAAGGATGCGGCGGCACTCACCACCCCTGACTCAGCGAACCAAGGGAGGCAGACGAGCAGGAGGAGGAGGAAGAGGAAGAGTGAGGCCTTGTTCATGGCGGAGGAGGAAAAAGACAAAAGGCAGAGAATAAAAGTACCTTGTCGACAACAATACCAGCATTTTGATTGGCCACACCCTTTCCCGCATTTTGGTTGGTCCAGCACCATTGATAAGAGAGCCGCCTCCGGCGTGCCCTCCTACTCCTACGCACTCACATAGAGTAAGACACCTCCCACCATGAACCTCAACACGTTCAGCATCACCGCGGCGGTGATGGCTACCCTGATGGGCTCCTCCCTGGAGTACTCGCGCAACGTCAAGCCCCTGCCTCCACTCCATGACCGTCCTCATGGGCGCCAGCCTCTTGGTTACCCTCTTCTCGGTCGTCTACCTTGCCGCGTTCGGACCTGGTCTCCGCCCCGCCTACCGGAGCCTCACCTTGCGCACCGCCCTGGGCGTCGTCTTCTTCGACCTTGGGACAGACTCTCTCAACGCCCTGGCGCTGATCCTCCCCCTGTCCCTCACCGCCCACTCGATCATCGGCGAGTCGCAGATCATCTTCAGCCTCGTCTTCGGCTACTGCCTCCAGAGCACCCGGTTCAAGGCGTCGGACATCATCGGCGCCGGTCTTTCCTGCGCGGGGTGGCGATCAAGGCATTCGGCAAAGTGGGCACGCCGCCGGCAGGCCATCAGCTCGTCGCTGCCCGGATCCAGGCGGCAGGTGAAAGGAGGACGAGGAAGCAGGAGTGATGATCACTTGGTTTTGTTTATGGCCATAAAGCAAAAGAACAATGCATTGTACCTTTCTTGTCATTCTTTCTTGCAGCTCTTGAGGGCCATATCTCCTCGCTCGCATTAACCTGTTGAAGCAGGGTATGTGGTGGCTATAGCGTAGTGGAAAGAGATGTGCTTGAGAAGGAAGAAGAGTGGAGTGAATAAAACAGAAGACGTGCCCTTGACAGGAGTTCGTGGGTTCGAGTCTCAACATAACCTTCGTTGTTGTCGCCTCAAATGGTGCGTGACACCAAACCTTGAGAGGGTTGGCTGACTGCAAACCTCCCAACTGGTGGGCAGTTTTATTTTCCTTTTTACGCATGAATTCGGCGCATGAGCATGATTGGAGCAGAATGGTCCTAGGGACTTTTTGACCGCCGATACAACACCGGCGTTTTCGGTCACGGCGAAGTGGCCAAGCACAAAAAGCGCATGTGACTCTGTACACCACAACACCAACACACAAGCAGACAAGCAGCCTCACTCCTCCCTAAAGACAAAGATGGCGTCCACCACCAACAACAAGAAGATCACCCTCTACCTCAACGTGGTCTGCCCCTACGCCCAGCGTGCCTGGCAGACTGCGGTGGAGAAGGGACTCGAATTCGAGGCCATCTCCGTTCCCTTGCGCGGCGACAAGCCCGATTGGTGCGTCTTCTTCGTAAGGCTTGGAGCTCTGATGTCAAACACACCCCAACTCACCTGCACCACCTACCCCCAATGGCCATGCGCAGGTACTGGAAGGTGAACCCTCGCGGAACGGTCCCGACTCTCGTGCACGGCGAGCGCACCATCCATGAATCGGTACGCACAGGACACGCACAGAAGGAGTGAAGTGGTGATGAGCTTACAATTTAGCTCACTTGTTTGTTTTCCCTCAGCTGCTCATCTCAGAGTACCTTGACGACGCCTTCCCGGAGGCGGGCCCTCGCCTGCTGCCCAGCGATCCCTACCAGCGGTACAGCCTGGCTTGTAATCTTCATTGTATTGCATTTGAACCTTGGGCTGATTTTTTGCGTGACTATGGGACAGCTACGCCTCGCGCTTCGTCATTGACCAGTTTGGGTCGCAGGTTACTCCTGCCGTCTTCCAGCTCATCAAGAACCAAGTACGATCGCCTTATTCGTTTGATCATCATCACCTTTGGTTCTCACCTCGAACGCATCTGCACAGGACCGCGCTCAAGACGACAAGCTCAAGGAGGAGCTCACCAAGAAGGTGGAGGCCTTTGCCGAGCTCTACGCCGCAGAGTCCAGCAGCAAGGATGGCCCTTACTTCCTCGGCGAGTCGTTCTCTTTGGTACGCACTCTCACCTGTATCTCTTGACATGAGTGCGATTGGATGGAATTATTCACCCATGAGTGTGTGGGTGGTGAATGCAGGTGGACCTGGCCATCGTGCCGTTCATCTACCGCTTCGCCATCGGGTTGTCGCACTACCGCGGCTTTGACCTCTTGGCTGTCGACGAGAAGCTCAAGCGCTGGCACGACGCCGTCACCCAGAGGCCGTCGTGGAAGACCACCACCGTCACCCCAGAAGCACTTATTGAGTCCATGGCCTTCTACGCCAACCCACCCCAGCAGTAACTTTCGTTCTTCTTCACTCGCTCGTTCTTCTCTCTTTCCAAAGAGAGAAGCAAGATAAGAGATAAATGGCTGTTAATACAATACCTAACCTTGATGATGTTGCTGTGGGCTGCCACACACTCAGTAGACCCCGACGAAGAGCCAGACGCCAATGGTGGCCCGCTCGCTCTGCCGGAGCGCCCAGCGCGTGAAGGCGTCGTAGAAGAAAGAGACGACGGGTGAGTTCTCGTGGTGCTGGCCGGCCTTGCCCAGGCGAACGTGTCTCGGAAGTTGAGGAGCAGCGGCCGGCTCATTTTTCCTCGGAGCTGCGCACCTCGACCGCCACCTTACTCACCAGGTCGCCGTCGCTGATGTTGGCCTTGCCCTTGGGAACGTGAACTCGCGTCGACTGCCCTTGCTCGTTGACAATGATGACGATGAAGGGGTGAGGTCGACAATGTTGCTGATGAGGACGGCGACGACGACGGCGACGATGCGTGGAGGAGGTGGGTGAGGCTGAGGGTCGACGACGAGGTGAAGAGGTGGCGGTGGTCGAGGGTGACGTATTGGACGACGATGACGACATGAGAGCTCGGCCTCGACCGCCGACGGCTCGCTGCTGCGTCGCAGGCCGAACGCTACGGCTGCGGCTGCTGGCCGTCGGCCTCTTCGCCGCCGCCTCGCCCCCTCATCGTTGTTGTCGGGCTAGCTGGCGACGCGCCGCATCGACTGCAGCAATAATAGGAAAAGTCGGAGTTGGGCGTGTTAAAAATCGGAACGAAAATTAAAGTTCGGAAATATATTTTCCTCGTACATTGTGGCCGAGGCGATGGGCGACGGCTGACGCGGGCGAGCGAGGCAGCGACAGGGAATTCGCCCTGACCGATAGATGCGCCGGCGAGCGCGGGCCTGTGGCGACGTCGACACACAGCACGCGCAAACCGCACGCGCGTGGGGGGGGGGAATGGAGTTACCGGCGTTGGTGGTGGCGCGGAGGTCGGCCTGGTATTCGCGGATGAGTCGCCGGAGGAACTCCTTGTCCTCCTCCTCGCGTTTCTGCCGTTCGAGAAACACGTAGCCGCGCATCTCGTGCCGCAGTAGCTGGAAGGTCTGAACCTGGTCGTACATGAGCTGCACCCGGTCCATGTTGATGGCTCCGCCCTCGATCGGCGTCTCCCTGCCCCGTTGCATCTCCTCCTCCCCCTCTTCGTCTTCGCTTACGTTCTCGTTCTCGTTTTCGTTCTCTTCGACATTCTTGGCATTCTCGGATTCGCTCGCGCGGGCGGGGGGGCCGAGGCCGTCGTCGGCTTTGCCTTCGTCGTGGGCTGGTTCTAGGCCGGCGGCAGGTAGAGCGCGGTTGCCCATCATCACGCGAAGGTGACGTCACGCAGGAACAACGGGGGACTTGCCTTCTTGCTCGGCGCCGATGACGATGCCGGAAGCTTCACAGCAGGAGACACATGCACAACACGCACCACACACTCAACATCTTGCACACACAGATTAACCTCTCTCTCTGTGTGTGTGTGTGTAGTTCGTTTTGTGTGCGTGTGAGTTCAATGGAAAGCGAAAGCCAAGTCGGGTGGGAATGCGAGGAAGAGAGGGAGGGGACGAGGCGGAGGCGGAGGCGGCGGTGCTGGTGAGGAGGAATGGGCAGCAATTCGGCGAGGCGCTCGATGTAGCTGCGGTAGTTCTGCATCTAGGACCGGGATGAGGGGTGGTCGAGGTACAAACTCGGTTTCCCCTTAAGGGTGTCGCCGATGAGGCCCCGGCGACCAATCGGGCGACCGCTGCAAGAGAGGGAAGGCGATTTTGCACAGTATCTGTACGGGCGTACGGCTTAAAACAAAAACAAGAAAAAAACCTGGATTCTGGTCACTTCGGGCGAACAAGAAAGGAGTGCGTTTCAGTTACCGCGCTGCCCAACAACACAAGGAGACTCACTCAGAGGCACAGAGCAAGGCGAACAGGGGTACGAAATGGAGGGTCGTGGAGTATCGGTGACTCTGCTCGGCGGGCGGAAGCATGACACCCCAGTCGGCGTAGTGGAGACAAACCGCGTGTACTTGCTGGGCGTCCACCAGTGTCCTGTTTTTGCAGTGACCCCTACCTTGCTCGTTGAAAGTTCGCACCCCCCTGCCCCGCGGCGCGCTTCGTAAGCCCTTCAACCTCCCGCTCATGTATAGCCCTACACATGGACCTCGCCAGTTTACGTCGAAGACCAGCTCAGATACGTTTGCAAGGAGCCAACCGAGATGCTGAGCATCTACGCACCTCCCACCTTTGACGAGGCCACGCGCACGTTGGGCATCTGGTTGACCTTCCACAAGCCTCCCTCAAGGACTGTGCCGGCCACGCTCAGGCAGAAGGGCGACCGGAACTACAGGGTCTGCCTGGGGGTCTACGCTGGGCAGGAGCAGACAGCACGAATAGGCGAGTGGAACTGCACCTTCAGGCGCAGAGCAGCCAAAGGTAAGCATGCGCTCCGCTTCTGCGTTTATTGCACCCCCTCCCTCCCAACAATTTTTTCGGCCTCTTCTCTGGATGTGGCCGCTCGTCTGTGATCTTACCTGGCCGACAGATACCGATACTTCGTGGTTAGATAGCCTCTTCGAGCCACTTTCTCCTGGCGAAGGCAACGGAGATGTAGTTTGTGCCGATGCCGACACGCCTGCTCAAGCGGGCTCTTCGCCAGCAGCACACTGTGTTGCTCAGGCCTCAGACGCGCATGTGTCCAGCATGCCGTTGTCTACTCCCCCAGCTGCGCCGCTGCAGCTGTCGGCACCGTACGAGGGGAAGGTCACGGTAACGCTGGCCACTCCGTGCGGCTGGGTCTGTTTCGAGAACGAGATGCTGTTTATGCTAGACCGGCAGAATGGAGCCAGCATCAGGTCGTGCGAGGCTTCATTCCTTTTCTTCGACACCCAGGCCTGCGTGAAGGTGCCACGACAAGACGCCACTCGAAAGCACAATCCCTCCCCACCCCATATTCGCTACAGAGGACTGACACTGTGCGGCGCGAATACGGCAGCGCCCGGTGGCAGTGCAGGGTGGCAGCCTGAGGGTCGTATCCCCCATCGTCGAGCGTCCCCAACGTGTTCAGGTGATGCTGCTGTGCGACTCGCAGCCACAGCTGCAGCAGATCAGTTTCGTTTACACCTACCTAGCCCTGTGACCCGCCAACCTGGCGCCCCTTCTGAGTGGACGGTGCAACAGTCCGTGATTCGAATAGAGTTCAGAATCAAGATTTTTTTTTGGGCAAGGATGCCGAAAGCCAGAGATACAGGGGGTCGTCGGCGGCATCATCTGGGGGCCTTGCGTAGCAGATCCACAAGCCCGCCAAAGTTCTCATCGTTCTGCTTGCAGCGGAGCAGGAATGGCTTGGGGTCCTTGTCGCTCGTCAGTGGGAAGTTGAAAGTCAGGGAGACGACGGCCTTGGTCGGGTTCTCCAGCTTCAGGCCGATGCCGCTGCTGTACTCGGCGACCAGGCTCGGCTTCGGGCTGTAGGGGGCCGTCGCAGGGTCGTTGCTCTGGAGGGCCTTGACTGAGATGGCGTTGCCGAAGCGGGTCGACTGGGAGGCCTGCCTCAGGAACGAGTCCTCTGGCATGTCGATGCGCGCCTCGCTTCTCTTCAGGACGATGGCAACGTCGGCCGGTCGGGCCGAGTACGCGGTGCACAGCTCGATGTCGAGGCCTGGAACCTGGGCGATTAGATGCTCGCTCAGCGTCTGGGCCTGCTTGTGCTCGGTCATCGAGGAAGAATAGATCACCACGTGCAGCGAGTCCGGCTTCCTCTTCTTCTTTTCGCGACTGGCACTCTTACGCTCGTCCTCACGCTCGCTCTCGACGCCTGGTTCGGGCTGCCTCGCCACTGACGACGACACGAGAAGAGCCTTGGTGAGGCTGTCCAAGGACTGGAGCAGAGCCTCCTGCCAGCGCCTGTTCTCTTCGTGTTGCCTGACTAGCAGCTGCACGATGAGATTTTCCTCGCCACCGGTGGCGATGCCGGCAGTATGGCGGCCACCTCCGAGGCCGTCCACAGCACCCACCGCGCCCGCGCCGCCACCCCCACCTCTGAAGCTGGTGACAGGCGTTACTTCCGAGCCTTCGCCCCGGGAGGAACCCGCCGATGACGACGTCGACCTGGGCGACGACGCTGTGGCTGGCCTATCGGCGCTGGCTTCGTCGGCATCCTTCTTGTGTTTTGAACTGCTGAAGAAGAAACTCATTGTATGATCAAGTGGCGAGGTGATAGGCGTATAGCAGGGGTTGGCAGATGCAGGAGAGGTGAAGAGAATAGGCTGTGTGGCAAAGGTGCCGTGTCCAGCGCAAGAAGCCCTTGTGGTTGACCCGTTCAGGGTGTGGTGTTCCAGAACGCACGGAATTGCCTCCGTGCCCTGAAAAAAACAGGGACCAGCAACCAAGACCGGTTTTTGGGGGATGCAATTCAGGAACAGGGAACACTGCGTTGCAGGAGCAGCACCGGTGCCGCACTGCCGGGTATAAAAACCGACATCTCTTCCATCCTCTCCACCACCTCCAACCCACCAAAACAGCAAGCGCCGCATACTTACCAAGCATGGCAGCAAGATCACCTGTGAAGCCTACTGGCAGCCCGTCGGTTGCCTCCAAGCAGAAGGAGGCGAAGCCTAGCCTCGACAAGGCCGATGGCAGCAACCTCGACGTGGAGATCATCGAGGTGCCTGACGTCGACCTGAGCCTCGAAGAGTGGAGCATGTGCGCGCACAAGCTCAAGCCAGGGCAGAACATCGACATCCTCGTCACGGTGCGCAATCTCAGCAGCCGTGCCATCACCGAGAGCCTCTCCCTCCGCGTGGACAGGGACGCCTTCTTCCAGTCGGTCGCCGTCAGGCTGCCGTCGTCGGTACCGGCCAACGGCGAGGTCAAGGTCAAGGCCACACTCAGGGTGCAGGGCGGCATCACCAACCTCAATAAGCTGCCCGCCAACAAGGAGATCATGCTCGTGAAGGAGTGCGGTCCCGGCAAACTGGCCAAATTGTCGTCCATGTTCATCGTCATCCCCATCGGTTCGCCTTCCCCTGCAACCCGCCCCGCCCTCTCTCTCTCTCTCTCCCCTTCTCACCACTTTTAGCCCTTCTTGTTGGTGACAACAGATCCCTTCATCCGCTACCTCAAGGAGGAGTTCCGCCCGATCCGGCTTCAGCTGTGGGGCCTCTTCGGCACGGGCAAGTCGTCATTCATCAACTCGATGGCCACGCTCTACAACGAGGACCCCCGGTTCCCGAACAGGAAGCTCACGCCCGCATTCTCGAGGCCCTCGGGGGTGTCGGTGACGACCGAACTCAAGCAGTACGACTTCAACAACGTGAGCCTCTGCGATTCGTGGGGCTGGGAGGAGGCGCGCAAGGACCTCTACTCCGATCTCCTGTTCCAGCTCATGCTCGGCGGTCGGCTGGGCAGAGAGTTCGCCATGGACAACGCCAAGACCCTCAGCGTGCTCAAGCTGCCCAACGTCGAGACCGCGCCCGTCGACCTGGTGCTGTTCTTCATCACCGTGGGCGCCGTCGAGAACAACACCTACCTGGAGCAGATGAACCACTTTATCGGCGAGGCGCGCAAGCTCGGCGTGCCCCTGCTCGTCCTGTTGACCCAGATCGACAAGGTCGACCCTAGCCTGCGCCAGGACCCCTACAGCGACAACCCGACCGTGCAGGACCTTGTCACGCAGGTGTCGCTCAAGGCCGAGCTCGACGAGTCCTTCATCTTGCCCGTGGTCAACTACACGCGCGAGACCGAGAGGACTTGGGCGATGGACCGAGCCGCCTTCGTCACCCTCTACCGGGCCTTCCAGGCACGTGAAGTCGCTGTCGGCAACGCCTAAGCAGACCACGGATGCCGCCAGGCAACTCTAAGCGGGGCCGGAATACACCTCTTCGTCTTTCTTCCTTCCCCACTTTTTTCCTCGCGCTTCTTGTACCCCGAATCGCACTTCTTGTTCCCTCGCAATAAAATGTAAGTCTTGCGATTGGACAGAAAACTCGCTCGAGCTGGGCGAGAGGGCCACGTCCTCCATCACTGCATCACTACCTGCAGCCAGAGGAACAACAAGCATGGCGACAGGGGAAGGTGAGGCCAAAAGGGGGAATCAAAGAGTGGTATGAGCATGCTGACCACCTTAGCAGGTGTCGATGAACGCCCTTTCCGTTGGACCCAAAGAGGAACGCTGATTGGTTGTGCTGTTCTTGGGTATCTAAAATTCTCAGTTTTGATGCAGAGCCAATCACCAAGAGAGTTAGCCGCACGGACACCCCGCAGGGCCGCACTGGTGACCGGTGCCCCAAAGTGCCATAAATTCAAGACTGCGCGGGGTGCAATCAAACTCGAACCACCCAACCAACAACATCCAGCACCACCCCGCACCAACCACGATGATCACCAACTTGCTTGGCTTCGCACTCCTCTTTCTCTGCGCCGCCACCCTAGGGGCAACGCAAAGACCGGCTTCTAGTGCCTGCCCGTGCGTAAGCATCAATGCTGCTGACATGACGGTAACAGTCACCATCAGCACCACGGGTTGCACCCCGGGGTGAGCCATGTGGACATTCCCACGATCTACACCTGCGACGGGGAAGCCGTCACCTTGACCGCACCTGTTGGCGACTGCACGTAATGCGTTTACCACCACTCCTTGACGGTCATGGCTGCTGTCCGTTTTGCTGATCCTTCGTAACGTTTGCAGTGTGGAACAAATGACATCCGATCCTTCTTGCGCCCTCGCGACAGGGGGTAGCTGGAAGATCACGCCGACCGCTGGCGTCTGTACCGCCACATTCACCACGGACAAACCCATCCAGGTCATTCCCCCCCTTTCCACACCTTCACACGCAACAAAACCTGACCAATTGTAGGTGATGGAGAACTAAATGTTTGATTGCGCATCA